TTGCACTCCGTTTCACTGTGCAACTCTGCTGAAGAACGCTGAAATGACGATCAGCAACTAACTTTCATCGAAGATTATACCGCTTTGCATGTGTTATTTTTGGAGGACTGGTAATACACAAACCAGTCATATACCACGCACATGTACTGGATCAAGACCGACACATATGTCATGATATGACCGACACAGTCTTGCGATTGTGTTATTTTTGGAAGTCTACCATTAGAGACAAAAATAGTAGACATCATGGCAAACATAAAACTGTTAAAGTGCTCTTTGAACACACGGCAGAAAGAATTTGCAACATTTGATGTTGCTAGACCGATAAGGGGAATGAGTAAGCAAATCTGCTTCTTATATCCCTGTTTTTTAAGGACATTTGGCTATTTCATACTAGTATTGGTCCTTTTTATAAGACCAAAAATGCTAGAGCAAAAATATCGGGACAAAAATGTTAGAACAAAAAGCAGCTTAAAGTTTGGCATACTTTCGCAGTTTATCGAAGTACAAAACTCAATTAGTGTCGCAAAACCAAGGAAGCAAGGAACTACTACGTAGTACCATAACTTTGTTGCAGAAACAAAGACAAACTCGGGTCATTGCTTACTCTTGAAGAAGCTTTTCCAGTCGGATCTTCGTGATCTTGCTTTGCTCGCCTGCAGCCACCGGAAGTTCGTCTTCGGATCTCTTATCCATTCGGGTTTCAAGAATCCTAAGCATTTCAGGAGCAGACTTCCCAGTAGCACACACGATATAGATGTATCTATGACAGTTACAGCTCTCAATCAAACAAATTCCAGTAGCACCGCAAGCCCCTTGCATTGCCAGTGGCAATTTGCCACCTACCCGAACTTCTTGTAGTACGCATTGTTGAGCTCCTCTAGTCGGTCTAGTACAGCGTCATCTGCGTTCTTCGTAGCCTACACCACCCGTTGCCATAAGTGCCTCTTCAATCTCTACGTCTTCACACATCGTATTCCTAACAGCGAGTTTGACAACCTTTTGCTCCTGCGCTTCCCACTCCTTAATCGGTCCCTTCGTCCTCCCAATCTGCAAGAAAGAATTGCAAGTAAAGGTCAGTCGCTTGCTCGACAGCTTGTCGTGTATTAATGTTAAGTTAAGCATCGCAAAACGGACCCTCGGGTGAGCTGCAAACGCTTCCAGCCAATCTTCTCTTGTCAACGAGGCGTCAACAGCGTCGGCAGCTTGGCAAAGCTCAGCAAAGTCCCGCACGGGGAACCTCTTTGACATTTCTGCCACCCACCGCGTGGACCCACAACAGTGCAGCAGCTTCTGACGGAACGGTGACCCCGCTTCTTCGGCACCGGGGGCAGCCGCAGCCATGTTCAGCACAGAGAGGTCCATGAGATTCTGAGAACACAATTAAAAAAGCAATCCGATTTGACGGGGTTTATTGATGATTACTTAATAAAACCTGAACTTTCACGAAGAGTGAAAAATGAAGTTTTAGCACCCTTCTTTGTTAATCCCTTACGCTTTCTTTGCTTTGGGCACAGAGTATCCGGTGGTGGGTGGTTCGCGATAAGATCCGCAAAGACGGTCCCAAAACGTGAAGTACTGGCCGTAGTTGTAGACGAACAGCTCGTGGTGCACTGAGTGATGCATCGCCCCGTTGACGATTTTGTTCTGCGAAAGATAACATCCGTCGTGAATACTGATGGTCCAAAAGTTGACCGCTACAAACAACACGAGAAATAACCCGCGGTGGATGGGGAATAGCATGATGTAGAAGTGATAAGGCAAGCTCTGGATGTAGCCGTCCATCGGGTGAAAGGCGTGAGATGCAAACGGAGAGCAGATAATCCATTTGTGGTGTGGCTTGTGTAGCGTCGCGTAGATGAATGGGTGATGCAACCATCGGTGGAGCCAGTAGATCAGCATATCCGAGAAGACGATGAAGGTAACTACGGTTTGAACCTCGAACCAGTAGCCGTGCTTGCCGAATTCCGGGTACGTCTTGGAGTAACCGCGAACGTCAGCGAGGAACCACGGGAGTGCCAGCAATACCATCACGGGGATTGACTTCATAGAGGCCAAAATCTCACTGCGTATTTGGTCTCTTCATAAACTTGGGGTGATTCATCAGCTCCTTGTCGAACAGGAACTCGTACGCCAGTTCAGCGCAAGAGGTAGAGCAGATACCCGCC